ACCGTGCTAAGACGCCTTGTAAATTATCGTTTGCTTATTTCCACTATATTTTACATAAAAAAAATAGTAGAAGTTGGTAGATTTTTTAAGGTTCTTACTCATACAGGATAAAACTTGGCGATTTCATAAAAGATGACCAGGGCGGCTGGATTTTCGAAGTAATTTGTAATTGTGTTTGAGATTTGAAAACGAAAATGTAATTGTATTGGAGTATAGAGTAAATTATTCTGGTAGGGACATTTTAGTTTTCAAATCTGAAACACAATCACAAATTACTTCGAGAATTTCCTATAAATAAACATTGGAATTGTTAAAAAACTCACACGTATGCAAAAATTAACAGTAGAGTACGGTAAAATTTTCACATTGCTGTTCAGAAATTCATAGAAACTTTACCCAATACACCAGGTAAAGCTACCTGTAAAATATGGAGTATTTACACAGTCTGTTCCAAGGCGAATTAATATAAGGTGTTACTAGCTCAGCTGATTTTGTGTATGTGTTTCGCCGCACGGCTTCTGTAGCCCGTTTCTGTAACTTTTCTCTACCAATTATTTCTCTACTGGTAGAGAAAATACGTCACTCTCACCTACTAATTAGCAGTAGAGAACAGGGCGGCGAATTCATATCTCGATTCGCCTTGGTAGAGAGTTGTTACAGAAACGAGCTACTGATATCAAATTGAAAAATTTTGTTTGAATTTCTACACACTCTCTTACAGATTTTGACAGTTTATGTCGCCAAAGCAAAAACAAAATACATGTAAATTTTTGTTTTTGTACTCCTGCTATAACCTTATATTAATTCGCCTTGGTCTGTTCTGTAGCTCGTTTCTGTAACAATTCTCTACCAAGGCGAATTGAGATATGAATTCGCCGCCTTGGTCTTTACTGCTAATGAGTAGTAGAGAATGACGTTTATTCTCTACTAGTAGAGAAATAATCGGTAGAGAAGAGTTACAGAAACGCAGTGCTGGAAGGGATGTGACTATCGAGCAATTTTTCTTCCAACCTTTTTTTTCACATTACAATTTCTTCAATCGAAGTAAACAGTTGTATCGAAAAAAATATTGAGCTAAAAAATATAAAAAATTAAAAATAACATCAAATATATTTACGTATATGCAGAGGCGCACCCAGGAATATATTTTGGGAGGGGTTTATACCTCTGAAAATTCGCTTCAGATTAAATGATCATTAAAGTACATTTATGCAAGTTTTATGTACAGTATGTAATAAATAAATAAACTTTTT